GAGCAGTTAGTCAAGGGATGTCCACTCCATTTAACCAGGAATCGTTGGTGCACTCCACGCCTTGTCTGGGTAGTTCGGATGTCCGAAACAACATCAATGCGATCATCTTTGGTCTGAACTGGAATAATAATGGGCAAGGTCTCTATGTCTACTGAATTAGTTGGTTCTCTGTCATATGTAGTAAGATCGATCGCATTAAACACAGGAGAAGTTCCAACATAAGGTGGGTCTTAAAAACCTCGCCTTGTAGGTACGGCGACCCTATTAGTTTAGTTGGTTGATTTTGGTTTTTGATGTAGCATGTATTTTTGCTGCATTTTGAGACAGTGAATCAATAGGATTTTTGAATCAACTAAGAGGGACAGATCAAATTGGGTCCTTGGCTTATGTGTCCTTTTGTATTTACTAGCTTTAATCTAACTTGAATTGATCAGGATAGATCTTAGTATCTTACATCCATTAGAAAGAAGGCCGTAAGCGAGACCTATATCATTTAGGAAGAGGAAAACACAATGATGGGTTTTACAATCTTATTTATTTGTAAAGTCTGATGTTTCTCATTTAGATTCTTAATTTGCATATGATATACTATATTACTATTCTATATGAGTGATCTATAAGGTTGGGGATTCACATGCCTACATGTGTGACATAGGAATCAACCTACAAGTGGGTCTTACAATTATAATGGAAATCGGATTGAATTGTTGTAGTTCATCCTTGATATGAAATCAAAAGCGTGTTTCTTCTTCTTCCTTTTTTAGTGTAGCTTGAACAACTTTTATAATATGAAGAAACACAATTATTTCATATACATTTTTTAAGCCGGCTAATTTAAGTCGATGTGTACAAGCATAAAATATGTTGGGCCTTTATTTCAAGTTATCATGCATGAAGGTTATGTGTATGAGGCTATTCGAAGTTGCTTTATTTTGCGCATGATTAACTATTTATTGAATTGGTAGAGCCATCCCATAGTCTTGAAATTAGAAACATAAAGTGCGCTAAATAATTCATGGGCTTAATAAATTCCAATTGTATTTGTTTTTCTCTTTAATTAGTCCAAAGGTTAGGTGAGTATGTGGCTATATTGTTTAATGTTTGGAAAAGATAGCATCTCCCTATCAATTTTATTAATTTTTCTCATGTTAAAAAGGCCATGAAGTTTACTTGACATATATCATTCTGGATTGAAACATTGATTTATATTGTAGGATAAGATATGAGACTCATCCTTATGGATGCATTGGTGGGTGAGAGATGATTTATGCCATAGATGTTTAACCTATTGACATTAATGCATTATGCTTGTTAGTTTTGAAATGCCAAAATGGATGGAGACTGGAGAGTTGAGTTTGCAAATCAGTAACATGAATTTTGTTTATTTTATCGTGTCAAGAATGCTGCAAGGCTCACCCCGCTAGATGCCATAGTGGAGTGATACATGATTTATGTTATAGAAAAGGCTGTGAGGATCATCTTAAACTTAACATAGCGTGGGGAGGCTAGATTTACATTGTGCAGGTTTGAGAGAGAAGCGAAGTTTGAAGGAGAATATACCTATTGTTGACATGGGCTTGTAAGTAACGAACCTAGAGTTGTAGTACCGAAATAGAGGTTTTAGTGTCTGGCTATTGCAACAAAATATTATAGATCGAAAGGGTGAGTGTTGGGAATTTTTTGGGTGGGACTTGGAAGAGTAAAGAAAATTGACATTAGAGATTTTGCTGGAGAAGAAGAGAGGATGAGGGAGGCGTCGATGTGAGAGGAAGGTGAGAGAACAAGAGAATGTGTAAGAGCAAGAGCAGAGGATGTTGCATGGTTGTGATGTGTGAGCATTAGTAGACCTTGAGAGATATGGATGTGGGTCAATAAGAAGATGTGTTGGGAGAGGATTGTTAGGGAATGTTAAGCGAGTTACTTGGAATGAGAGACAAGTGGTGAGATATGTTGATGTAGGAATTTGTAGGAGAATTGCAAGATATATGAATGCGGTTTACATGTTGATGTATAGGGCTTAGGTGTGTTGGAGAAAGAGAGGCTAAGAGACTGTCTAGTGAGATGTGAGTTGGGGAGTCACAAGATGGAGAGAGAGAGAGACGTGATATTGTTGGTGATTGGTCTCGATTGTGAGATAGAGTGAGAGAGAGAGAGAGAAAGGGTGCGAGCGGTGACAGGGAGAGCTTGCAAAGTTTAGATGTGAGCAAGATTGTGTGATCATAGGTTGTGCACATGTGATCATGGGGAGATGAGGGTCGGAGCTTTGGGAGTTCCTAGGTGGCTAGGTGTAGTTATGTATGGATGTGGATGACTTGCTTCAGATAGAAGATTATACAATATTGAGTAGTATATATATATATATATATATAGTTTAATTATTATATTATATTCATGATATCTGCAATGATATTTTACTCTAATAGATTCTTTTAAAATGCATGAATCTTAAAAAGAGGCATGTTAATTTTTTAATGAATGAATGTGATTTGTTTATCCGAGATCATATGTAATGCACAGTGGAAACAAATAAAAGTGTTTGTTAAATTATGTGCAATGAGAGATTAGAAGATAAACATTTGAAGAGGACATTTTTTAGAAGACGATGAAGATCCATTATTTTGTAATGATGTGTTATTAGATGATGAATGATTTGTGGAGGATGACAATGAAGTTATCCATCACAATTGCATGAGGAACATCACAATATTGACTTCTTTGATGGATGAATGGGCAAAATTAATAGGTCAAAATGAATGTAGCATAAAAGGTTATTATAAAAAATATGTAATTGAAATTGTAATCATCATCATATTCATTATTTTAAAAATTAGTTAATGTTCTTATTGATTTTTATTGATTAAGAAAGAGCAAGATTTTTAAGATTGAAAATGAGGAGGAAGATTAGTTGGATTCTAAAGCTGCTGATAATGAGGAAGGAGAGAAAACTATTCTCAATAATGATGATTTCAATAATGATGATTCTAATAAATGCGTATTAAATGATGAGAATTAAAGACTTATGAATTTATAAATTATAATCGTAATGGTGTAGACTACTTGTTAATGTTGATTTGGTAGTGGGAGAGACTTCTTGTTATGATCTTACTTTGATATTTTATTTGTACGTGAGAATGACATTTTTTCATATATTTTATAAATTTAAAGTTTTGATTTTGAGGGTTGCGAATCAAAACGCCTTAAACCTACATCTTGCCTCACAGATTGTAAATGTCTTAATGTTCAATATTGCAATAAATTGTTTTTCACTAGATGCACCGATATAATAGCTTTGGAGTTTGCAAATCATTGAATAAAGTGTGGACATTGTTTTTTCACTTCAATGCAAAAAGCACTAGTGCTTTGTTCCCACATTGCGCATGGACAACATTAAAATGTGCAAACTTTGTCAAAAAAATAGATAGTTTTTCAGAAGCCTGCACTTCTATACAAGTAAAAGAATAATTCAGAAAAGCATGCAAAGCCTTTGTCTTCGCTTCAAAAAAAGTTACCAAGTGTTATTTGCCTCATTGAAAGATGTATGCTTCATAAATTAACATAAAATAATCAAATATTATTTCATTGCTGAGAGTGTAGGCGCTATAAATTTAGCTGAGTTGTGTAATACTATGCTCAAGATCATTTATTTCTTTCTTCATCAAAATTGAGTTTGAGATTTAGCATGACCCAAAATTTAAAATCTTTTGTAATCTTGTTCTTTGGCATTTTTATAATATTTCAGCTGAAAGCAGGCTTAACCTCAATTATAGCATGAAAATGATTTAAGACATCTTTAGTACTGAACATTATTTCATTCATAGTACAAAAAGTTATACTATCCATTTTATATTTTTTTGATTGATCTTTTGTGCATTAATAGAAAAAACAGGAACTGTTATTTGTTCAAAGTTGTATCAAGTATTTCAACTCTGGATTCCAATCTACTTGTGCATCTACTAATATATCTCAATCTGGTGTATAAAATGGTGAGAACATATTTGATACAAGAACAAGAAGTTCATGAAATAATCTCTTAAAATAAAATGAGCATTTTGTGGAGCTCTTGTCTTACTAAAATAATTAAATTTATGATTACAACAAACAAGTGGATCAATGCCCAATTTCATTCATTTAACTGTTAAGCTTCATAAATCTTGTTCATCTCATTTCAATAGCTAAGTAAATGATTATAAACAAGTAGAACCACTCATAGAGCATCTCTGCAAGCATTAGAATAGATATCTTAAATATTTTCTTTGTTGAAAGTGGAGCATAAAACGGGTTGCATGTAAATAAGCATAAGGTCATTACAAATAAAAGAAGGCGTATGTCTATTATAGATCAAAATTTATATATAGGGAGCTACTAAATATTTAGTTAAAGGTCACAGTCTATATTTGAATTTGTGACTACTGCGTTTACCTCTAGAGCTCTTGGTCAGAAGCTCAAGTAAACTTAGGCTTCGTTTGGGATGACTTTCTTATTGCTTCTTAAAGCAGCTTTTCAGTACAAAAATTAAAAATGTTGTACTAAAAAGCAGCTTTAAGAAGCAGTAAAAAAGTTGTCCTGAATGAAGCCTTAAGCACCTGATTGCTTTATTTTCAGCATATACTGACATTCATAAGGATGCTCCAATATCCATCTAATGAAAGCACTTAGGATTTTAAGTAATTGTAGAAGATAAAATTAGAGAGAGTCGCCTTAGATGGTTTGGTCACATTAAACGGAGGCCTTCCGATGACCTGGTTAGAAAAGTTGAGATACTACATTTGACTTATGTTAAGAAAGGTATAGGTAGACCTAAAAAGACTTGGTTAGAAAATATTTGAAATTATCTTTTTCTATTAGATTTAAATGAGAATTTGACTTTTAACAAAACACAATGACGAAAAAGGATTCAAGGTTTGATGTTGTTGTTGTGGATCCATCTAATGAAAGCAGCTTAGTATCTTTGTTAATTGAGGATCCTAATCAATTTCAAACCTTGTTTGTTGTCTTGCCAGAACCCTTATTTTGTTAACATTCTACTTGCTGGCTATGATAAGGACATCGGACCATCTCTCTACTACATTGATTACATTGCAACTCTTCACAAAATCGACAAGGGTGCCTTTGGTTATGGCTCCTATTTTGCATTATCATTGATGGACAGGCATTATCACAGTGGAATGTCACTGGCTGAAGCTATCGATCTCGTCGACAAGTGCATCACAGAAATAAGATCCAGATTGGTTGTTGCTCCGCCGAACTTTTTGATCAAGATCGTCGACAAGGATGGCGCGAAGGAGTTTGCTTGGCGCGAATCCATTTCACAAGCCTGAGATCTTTCATCATAGTTTGCAATCTGTTCCAATGCCTCAAATTTCTTGCACTGAGTTCATTCTGGAATTTTAAACATTGTTGGTTTCCCCCTTGAGAAAATGGGTTGTTGCCCATAATTTAATCTTAGGAAATAGAGTTTTCAGTGCTGTATTATTGTTTCAACAATGAATGGTTGGATGCTTATCAATTATATTTGGCTTCTTTCCTTTTCTGAGTGATTTTCCTGGATCTAAAATCTGAATTTATGTGCTGATGATGGAGAGTTTTCAGTATGATCTTCTTAAATGCTGGCTGATATATCTTTGATTTTACATGCTTTGCTTTTTCAAGAATTTCGCATATCTCAATTTTGATTTGCATAGAAAATGCTTTAATAAGTGTTATTTCATTTAATATTTTTGCATAATTATATTTGGTGAATTATTTCTTCAGGATATGTTCGTTAATTTTTATATCATCTTTCCTTCTCTCTAAAGGAAGATTTTTTATTATCATCAAATTTGTTTGTTCAAAATATTTATGAACAAGCTTTCTTATAAGAAGAATTATAACTTGTATGTTTGTAAACAAGCTCGTTTGATAGCTCGAAAATGCTTACTAGATGTGTTTGTGAATAGACTTATTTGATAGTTGGAAAACTTTCGCTAGATATGTTCGCGAACAGTCTCGTCTGGTAATACTCATTATAAATGTTTGTGAACAGACTCGTTTGGTAGTTCGAAATAATTGAAAAAAATGTTCGCAAACATATTTGTTAGTTGGTTTGATAAAGCGTGATAAGGCTTGTTTGTTTAAAGCTCGAAAAACATGAAATATATTGAACATGAACCAAACACAAACTAAATATAAACGTTCATCAACTTAAACAAACCAAGTTTGAACGCGAACAAGAAAGCTCGAATCAAGCTCAAAGGAACATAAACAAGCAGATAATAAACAAATACAAATAAGCATATATTTGACTTGGCTCGGTTCATTTACAACCCTATCAAAGAGCGTGAAAGCACTAAAAGAGCCACCAAAATGGTTGCAATAACATAGAAAGGCAACATGCAAATGTTTTGTTTGCAATTTGCATCAAGCTTCCTGCATGGTAATCTTCATTACCATCGCCATCATCTGAAGGAGAAAGAGATGGCAATGGAAGGTAAGAACTCTGAAGTTAAACAACCTAAATAACTCTATATCATTATTCCAAACATCTAGAACTTTCCAAAGAGTGCTCTTACCTCTCATAACTCCAAGCCTAAGATCCCTTAAGCTCATCACAAAATCAGACAATATAAAATAACCTAGATTAAAGGCCTTTTCCTTGTAAGTATTGGTCAGATCTTCCACCTTCAAATGTTCATAATCCCTCAAGTCACTTGTAAGAAATTCCCCTACATTTTTACCAACAAATAAAAACTATCACTACTAAAATTTCAATATCACATTTACATATCCTAAAATATCTCTTCATAGACATTTCCATTATTAAATTAGATTAACCCAAACCGAGCTAGTTCTGGTTCTACATCACCACCCCTTCTAAATAAGGGCGGAACTGTTTTTTTTTTTTTTTTTCATTTCTTGAATTACTATATTTTATATATGATATTGAGTTACGTTATATAATAAAATATAATATATATATGTATGTAAGAAAAGAAGATTAGTTGTTAACACTATAATTAATATGGGTTGGCTCTTAAAACATAATATTTTGCTCAAGAGGGTGGGCCAATAGGCTTCCTTTAAATGAAAATTTGATGGTGCAATCCTAGTTATAGCATGTAACTGATCGATTGAATTACATCAACAAGTTAAGTGTGAAGATTCTTAAATGATTATTGAACGTCAATTATGAAAATAAATGATTAATATAAATAAATAAAGAATAATATGAGATTGATAGATGAATATATATGACATATAATAGATGGACGTATGAAAATATCACATTAAAGTTGGATGTTCTGACTTACTTTTCATAAATATTTTCATAATTATATTTACATGATAACACAACGCTTTTTTTTTGTACCTACTACAACGGTTTAAACACCTACAAAATTATTTGCAGTGGTTTCTAAACTATTGCAAATCCGTTATATGACTCATATTTGTTCTAGATGGAAATGACTTCGCTGCGGTTCAAGAATTGTTACTATGGGAAAGCTTTAGAAGCGCTTTTAATAGGGGTTAAATCTGTTGTTAAATGGTAGGACTGATTAAAAAATATATATAATGCAAAAATTTCAATTTTTTTTAATCTGTAGCCTAGCCAAGCTGTACACAGACTCACCACCGAGGAGCGGCCGGAGCCCCAGCACCGGCGGGTGTAGAGACCACAGCCGGCGACACTCCTCCGAAGCTCTGCTAAGGCATTGCTAAACCCTACAATTAACATTCAGAATTATTTGTAGCGTCAGTAACTATAAGTAAGGCAAATTGGTTCAGCATTCAAAATTTTTTTTTTCATTATTGTTTATGTTGTAATTTATATATTTCTTTTTTTTTTTTTTTCGCTTTCAGAACATATAATATTTTTAGGTCTATTTGTTTTATAATTATAAAGTTTATGAATATTCCATATGTTTGCTTTTATGATTGTAATATCTACCATTATTTAATAATTATAAAATGCAATTGCACCATTTAAATATAAATTTACAAACTTAATTTTGTGTTGTATTTGCAATGAATTTTGGATGAATGTACACATTAGCAATGGCCTTTGGACATATTTGTGATGACTTTGCGACTAAATTCAAGAGGATTTCAGGTATGTGATAGATCATAGATTTGCAAATAATTTGTCACACACTTTAAAGTTTGCGAAGAATTTATAAAAGAATTACAACAGCATAAAATGCATTTCTCATTTATTCATCCCTCTGCTATATAAAGAAATAAGGCAACAATTCAATTGCATGTGCAATCTTCTAGTTGATTGCATGTGTGAAGCTAGGGGTGTCAATTTTTTACACGACCCGAAACTCGACCCGAACCCGATCAGAAAAAATTGGGGTTAGACTAAACCTGGACCTGAAACGGGTCGGGTTGGGGTTCAACAAATCAACCGATTTTAAAAATCAGGTCGGATTCGGGTTGACCCAGCAACCCGAAATTAACATGAAAACTCGTATTTGACCCGAAAACCCGAGATTGACCCGTTTTTTACCCGAAAATTGAAGATTGACCCGAATTTTGACATTAAAACTAGCAATTTTGGGTCAATCCCGGGTCATTCGTGTCGTGTCGGGTTGACCCAAACCCAAATCGGGTCGGGTTCGGGTCCTGGTCCGAAAACTTGACCCGTTTAAAAACGGATCAGGTTCGGGTTGACCCGAATAGTGTCAGGTCAGTTCCGGATTCGACTCGAACTGGACCTGTTGACTCGAATTGACACCCCTATGTGAAGACTAATCTATATATTATTATATAACTGACATGCAAAACATTGAAGTCATAGACTTAGGCTTTGTTTGGAATGACTTTTTTAGAGTAACTATCTAGTACAAAAATTAGAAGGGTGTACTAAAAAGCTGCTTTAAGCAGTAAAAGAGTTGTCCAAAGCAAAGCCTTAGGTTAAGGCTTTGTTGGGAGCAGATTTTTTAATACTTTCTAAATCAACTTTTTAATATAAAAATTTTTTGTTAAAAAAAATTGTGCTACAAAATTAATTTAAAAAATAATAAGAAAACTGTCTCAAACAAAACTTAACTTACCTATTAAAAATAAGGGATATAGGTCTTTATGGTACATGCATGTGCACTAAGTAAAAAAACTTTATAATGCATGTGGCAAACCCACCAAAGTCTCATGTCCCCATTTTGACTCCTTGTTTATTCTTTTGATAAGCTTGTCATCTCATATATGTTTAAATATAAGAAATGTGAGTGAGCATGGTATCATTTTAGACTTTGTGGAATAATTTTATAGCTTATTTAAAAAACTATATTTGTTTCATTTATATTTTAGCTAACTTTTTTTTATAAATAAATAAAGCTATTTTTTAAAAATAATAATCATAATAATAAATTTAAACAAGCTGAGTGCTTTCAAAAACAATTAATATCGTCATCGTTATTATCGACCACCATCATTAATTTACCATCTTTTACTTTATTTATGATAAAAACTTTTCTTATTGTTTCTTAAAATAATTTTTTAGTATAAAAATTTTTATACTAAAAAATTGTTTTATAAAGTAATAAAAAAATGCCCCAGACAAAGCCTAAAAAAGTCTTCGTTTGAGACGATTTTTTTGTTGCTTCTTAAAGCAGTTTTCTAGTACAAAAGTTTTATTTTTTATAGTACAAAGCTGCTTTATGAAACAGTAAGAAAGCCGTCCCAAACAAAGCCTAAGATTGAGGAGGTACATGAGGTTGAGAAGATCTTGCGAACAATAATAATGATGATGAGTTAGCATCAAGGGGCATGCAATCGATCACATGGCAGTAGGTCAATAAGATTGTGGGAATAATGTTGTAATACAAAGATATGGTATTCTCTAGATGCGTTCAGGATAATGATGATGGCGACGCAATGTTGATGTTGATTATGATGATGATCACAAGAATGACGATGATGAGTATGTGTTTTTTTATCTTAATTTGTAGTTCTTATGTATATTGCTGGTGAGAAACACATGCGAGTAGTTTAATCTTATGAAGAACAAAACTATTTTTATATTTGTAACTAGATCAACTTTGTCTTTGCATTAATTTATCTATAAAATGAAATCAAACCCTATCATTGCATCAATATGTTTGTGAAATGAAAAATCAAATGTATGACTCACCATTATTTTAATTTGAATCTTGAATTGAATTGAATGTTATGGTTGAGAATTTATCTGACTTTATTGTGGCCATATAAGTAAATCAAATATATATTTGAGTGTTATAAGAAATTGCAAATCTATAAATTAGAAAATGTATCGACATTTTTTGCTATTATTAAGATCTTTGTAATCAACAACAATTGTGAAGAGTTGTCTACAGCTCAACTAAATCGATCTATTTTTGATAAGCTTTTTACAATAAGTTTTAATCGTAAGTGATATCGATGATCAGAGAGATCGGTCATGAATTGTTTCTAACAATCATTTAGTGACTAATTTTGGGACGCTCGATTTGTGATGATGTGGTTATCACAAATTGCAATTTTTCCTATAATGAATTAATTTTAATAAACTTATATTAATTATGTTTTTATTTGTATTAAAAATATGAAAGCATGCATACATATATACTTATACAAGTTTATATGCATTTTTTTATATCTTTTTTATGAATGATTTTGATCGTAAAAATAAATTTTCATTATAAAATTTTGTAGAAAAGAAGAAAAAAAAATAGCACACTAATATTGTGATTATGTAAAAACTATCCCAAACAGATTTTAGCTTAGCAGTGGGTCCCACCTGACAGTATATTAAATAATAGATGTACCCGGAGAATATTTATGCCTCTACATGGCGGCGTGCCACTCACAACCTAACTTTCTTTTCTGTGTACGTTAATGCCGACATGTTTCCATCCACGTGCTAATACCAGCCATTTAGGCTCCGGTGACGTGACATGCTCGGATTCGCCTCCGAACACATACGTCACCGGAGCCCAGTGCATCCAGTGACGTGGCTCATTCGGATTCATTTTTGAATGCATTCGGATTCCGGACACAATAATTTCTCTTGTCGTTGGACGTCATTCTTCTATGTGTTTTATTATGGCCTCTGCTCCGCATCATGCGGTCATCGAGACAAATTAGGATGCTCCATATTATTATCTTATGTATCAATATTGTATATTGATGTGTATCAGATGATGTGGAGCATATTAATTCGACTCCGAACGATTCATAGACCGTTTGTAATAATTCCTCGTTCCACACATGATAAGAAAAATTTGTGCTTTTAGAGAAGGGAGAAGGCGAAGGCGGACCATTTCTTCTTATTCCTTCATTCCATCTTTTGCAAACAATTTTCCTCTATAGAATTAGCCAAACTGTTTGGCTGGTTTGTCTCTTTTTGAATTTTTGTAAAATTATGCTTCTTCACATAATTTAAATTTTGGTCATACTTCTTCTTAAAATTTGTTCTTTTTTTTTCAAATCTTTCAACAACAACATCGAGCTAATGAGCCGAGCTCGAGCTCAAATTTAAAAAATTCTAGTCGAGTTTAAGCTTGAGTACCAAACTCCAGATGACCTTGAGCCACTTATACAATATAAGAGCCGAGCTCGATGAAACTCATTTTCACCTCTACATATGTGTGGGATGTTGACCCATTTTTTCATGGTCTATAAGATAATCTAAGGCTTTCTTTGGGATCACTTTCTTGTTGTTTCTTAAAGCAGTTTTTTAGTACAAAAGTTTTAATTTTTGCACCAAAAAACTGCTTCAACAAGCAGTCCCAAATGAAGCCTAACATTTCAACAATAGGCACTTATTTCTTTTGAGATTTATGTCGACAGATTTTTTTTCATGCAAATTTTGATTTGTAACTTTTATTAGAATGGGATAGATAATCTCCATCAGAGTCAAATGTGATCATAAATTTTTAAGTGTGGATAACACTAATTGAGAATTTATGTAAGCATTACTTCGACTTTAATGGACAAAAAGCAAGTCAGAATGTGTAGTTTCCCAAAGTGGAGTGGCCATTTACTTGTTCAAGAAGTGGAACTTTTATTACATCCTCTGACCGGACGTAGCTCTACGTTCGATCAGAGGATTGTTACTCGGTATTTGATCGGTATTGCTAGGTATTGTTTGATAATAATGAGGAATACCGCTCTGTGAAGACCAATACCGAGTAATCCCAAAAAATACTTAGTTTTTTCTCTGTATTTAAGAAAAAACTAAGTATTTTTTGGGATTACTCGGTATTGCTCGGTATTACTCGGTATTTTGTCTTCACGTAATGGTATTTCTCGTTATTGTTGGTATTGCTCGGTATTTCTCATTTTGTGTCTGCGATCTTAATGCCGGCTGAACGTAGCTCTACGTACATTCACCGGACATAATATAAGTTCCAAGAAGTGGGCAATGAAGTCTCATCTCATAACAAGTTGCCCAATCAAAGAGACAATTATTCTTTTATATATATATAAATATAAAGTTTCTACTCATGATTATGGAATCTAAAATGCTCTTTTAAGAAGTTGTCCATTTTTTCTCAGCAAATTAAATATATTTTTGAATAATAATAATGAGGTCTAAGTATAATTGATACTTAAAACATAGGCAAATATGATGGGAAAAAATGGGTCATAATATTCTAACTAAATATTTTTGTTACGATGAATTTGAAAATTGTTGGATTTATTTTGAGATGCATGTAATATACATTTTTATTGATTACTATTGCATGCTAACAAATTCATGGTGACAGAGAGATTAAGTTATGCCCTAAATTTAATTTGCATGAAGATTTAACGTGCACAAAGATAAAAGAGGGGAATATGTGAGATACTAGAATTTTTACGTGAAAAATCCAAGATTGCAAGAAAATCACAGACCCGATCTAGCCTAGATGAAGCAATCTACTTTATAACTAAAATCTTATATGTTTTCTCTTTCTTTCTAGTGAAGAAGATAGAATTACAAGGTAATGAATTCAAATTTGTTCTCATGCAATTATAGTAGAGCTTGTTGGAGAAATAATTGAGAGATGTTGATGGCGATTGGTGCTAGTGGTATGGGCCAGGGCTACAATAGTTGGGAAATAATGATCAGGTGACAATGGTTGGAAAATAATGATCGAGCTATGATAGTCAAATGATGGCAGTCAAACGATGGTAGTCGAATAATGATGAATGAACTTCAAATTATAAAATAGATTAAGCCTCTTATTATATATATATACCAAATCCAACTTTTATTCATAAAACAGAATATATAATAATTAATCATAATCTTTTTTAGTTGCAATTTTTTTTTTATTCACAAGAGTAAGTCGCCCGTTCAACGGGCGACTTACTATAAATATACAATCCCGTTACTTCAAGGAATAACGGGAATAACGGTTAGTTGAGTTATGGAGGGGTAAGTCGCCCGTTCAACGGGCGACTTACTTCGCTGATATAAGTCGCCCGTTACACGGGCGATTTTGACGAGTTTTAAATTTATTTTTTTTGTTGGTTAATCGCTTAATTATAATTAATACGATGCTTATTTTAAAAAATTGCCCTATTTTTAAAACAAAATAATTTCACTCCCTTTTTTTTATCCAAGCTAAACAGCCCCTATATCAATAGCCCTCACACACCTAAAGTTAGGTTTTACAAAAGCTACTTATTCAATAATTACTCTAAGCACCCTTATTTGACTTTTTTATAATTTTTTATACCAAACGAGAAAAATAGATCATCAGTACTTATCTTTTTATTTTTCAAAACAATTTAAATAAATATGCCCTAAACTCAAAAGTATTTTTTAATTAAAAAATATATGTTAATAGCAACAAAAAAATCACCCATTGCATTGTTCTTCCAGAGGTTCTTCCACTCAATCAATTAAAAGTTTGAAGTTTCTACCAAGTCCTAAAAAATCTACTGTAATTCGCTCGAATGCGGCCTTTGAGAACGCCCAAAACCTTGCCTTTTTGATTCTATTGTATTGTGAATGGAAGCTAAAAGCACCGCAGGGCTGCGGCACACAACAACAATGGGAAGGTATGAAATCGCCATCGACGCCTCTTTTGATTTCTTCTGCCACGGGCTCGGAACTGTGTGGGCTCCTTTGCTGGATTTCCACTGCATTGATTGTTTTGTCCTTCTTTGCCTCCTTCCTCCTCTTTCTGGATATTTTTATATATTTTTTCCTCTTATCATTGCTCCTATTGCCTACTGCAACCAGCACTTACTGACAAAAAAAAACAAAAAAATAGAAAAGAAGAATCTCCTATCATTCTCATTCTCAGGGAAGAGAGGAGATTGATAGAGAAAGAGACGCAAATAACTACCGGCTTGCGGCCTTGATGGGCTGAGGGAATGAGCGGTGATGCAAATTCCCCCCATATAGTTTTGGGTTTGTGGTTTCTTCCACATGTTCTTATACTTTAAGCATAAAATCTGTTTGATCGTTTTTCTGTTAAGAAACAATTTGCAAAATCACTTTTTTTTTTTTTTCTTTTGGGTGTCGGCAAGGTCTTAGTGGAGATCTGATTTTGTTGGTTGAACTAGTGTGATACTCACTGCTTGCAGTCGATCTTTGTAGCTTGTTTGATGGAGGCAGTTGCTTAGCATTTATGCTGTGGCCTTCTTTGTTTAATTCATATGTAGTTTATTTAATTAATGTAATTATTTTCTTTAATTTATTAGTTTCATTGGAATGCCATGGGTCTGGTTAGGTTGCTTACTTTTGGAATTTATGTATTTGACTAGTTCCTCACAGCATTGGACCTGTGAGTGAAGTTGCTAGCTGTGCTGCTCAATAATTTCTCTGATAATTCCTTACTCTTTTTTTATTTTCTTAAACACTGAAAACTGGTTTCAAAGGGTTCTGTTGAAATGGATTTGAAGGAAAATTGTTCTTGTTCTGCTTGGATGTTACCCTTAAGTGCAGAATAGTTATTTCAAAGTGAAATTCCTTTAATTTATTGAAAATTTAGATTATTTGCTTGTAGCAATATGAGATTCCTAAATCTTTTCAACCAAACTAGGTTGTTAGGGATAAAGATACTGTGCTCTCTTTGCACCTTCTGAGCATAATGGAAGATTGTTAATGCCTGACAATGCTTTAGTGAGAATTGTCTTATCCATGTTATCCCTAGCTGTTTTAAGCTTTTGGTTCGTTAAGAGCCTATTTGGCACAATACTGAGGCTGGATCCCAGCTGTTTCTCAAGCCATCCATGCCTTAGGGACTGAGCTTGCATTAGGAAGCAGCTCTTTTTTATTCTTGACAAGTTGTTTGGCTTGAACCAGAGAGCCACTCACCCATGCCATCATTACATTTGCTATGTCTTCAACACACACATCACATGCGACAATGTGCAGTAAAGCTATGCCAAATAGGGTCGGAACCAACCTTACTTCTAAGGGGGTTGTTTGGGGGAAACTTATAAAAAAATAAAAATATATACAATACAAAATTCAATCTAAATTTTCATAGAGCGAATCAGCGAACAAACAAAATGCTGCTCGTGATTTACCACGGGTGTGAAAAGGGTCGGCTAGTGCAAAGAAATAAAATGAGGGGCAAATTACCTAATAATCATTCTTTTAAAGATTTTTTTATTCCAATTGACTCTTGATTATGCCTTTTTGCATACTTTGATGTTCTTATGCCTACTACTTTGCTCATATTGGTTTTGTTTGCTTTTGTTCAGGTGTATCCCGTTGCGCACATGCATTGTATAATACCTCGTCTTACATTGTATATAGGTCTACGGAAATCTCAGGTAGAAATTCTGACATGTTATTTATCTCATTATCTGGTACGTCATTTTATTCACAATTTCTTTTATAGTTTGTGCTGATCATTGGGCTATGTAAAAATAGACCAGTTAGAAGAAGAGAGCTTCACGTATCTCCAGTCAGCTCATAGATATTAGCATTGTGAGCCTGACAGTAGCTTGTTCTTGTTCGAATCTGTTACCTCTCAAAGTACATTCTACCGGCTGTGGTTGCTCGGCTACATGGAGGCTGCATCCGGTGCCGAACCTAAGCGCTCATATTCATGGTGGTGGGACAGCCATATCAGTCCAAAGAATTCAAAATGGCTTCAGGATAACCTAAGTGGTACTATCTTTTTCCTCATTGATTATCGTTATATGTATGTATTTTGTACAATACTTCTATATGAGATATGTTCAAAATTAAGGTATTGATTATCGTTTTGGACAGCCATAGAAAGATGTCAACTATTCATGTAATTTGCAGATCACTTGCTGTTATTAATATGTTCTGCAAGCCTACTTAGTGCATAAAATTATGTCTGTGGTTTCTTTGTTCATTTTCATTTCTGGCCTTCAAAATTTCAACCAGAGCTTTGTCCAAAATTAAGGCTTCATTTGGGACGGCTTTCTGTTGCTTCTTAAAGTAGCTTTCTAGTACAAAAATTTTAATTATTGAACTAGAAAGCTGCTTTAAGAAGAAACAAAAAAGCCGCCCCAAACGAAGCCTAATTCTTGCAATCCAGAAAGCTGCTTTACATTTTTTTATTGAATTGGATTACTGAAATTATATTGAAGCTATATATTTTAGAGGGAACAATGTCTCTTTATGTTTATTAGTATTTGTATCAGCAAATTTTACACACAACTACTTCAAATTATATATTTTCTTCATCCTTTTGAATTTAATTTCTAATAAACTTTCATGAAACAAAATAGTTACTGAAATAAATAGAATTCATTGATGTTGAATTTTTTATCAAATGTAGTAAACTTTATTGTTGCTCGTGATTAGGCATAGATTATGAAGTTTTTTAAGGAAATGATCAAAATAGTCCATTCACTCTTTATGAATGATTAAAATAGTTCCCAATTATATTAAAGAATTATTTTGGTCCTTCAACTTCTTAAAGATGAACCAAAATAGTCCCTCCATAGGACTATTTCGATTCTTTTTTAAGGATTTGAGGGACCAAAATGATCATTTAAATAATTGAGGACCATTTTGATCTTTCATAATGAGTCAAGGAACCCTTTTGGTCATTTTCTTGAAGTCTTACTTAGAAGTTTCATCAAAATTCCTCTTGTCTTAGCTTATTTATTAGGCTGATGTTGGAGGATCTTTAAATTCATTTCCACGGGTTTCTCTAGAATTAGTGCTAAAGCCATGCTTCAACTATGATGCATCGACACTTCTCCTGAAAGAGGCGTGCAGTGTCCGACACGTATCCGACACGACACACGTCCGACACTTCGACACGTGTCGGACATGCCGAAAATATGTCCAATTAAAAAAATATTAAATACAAGTTGAACACACGTGTCCGACACGCGTATTTTAAATATTTTATGAATCTTTTTAAAATATATTTTCTTGTATTTAAAATTTTTACTTATTTAAAATATAAAAAATAAATTTCTTATTTTCTATTCACAATACAAAATCAATTGCCCACACTTAATATCCTATTCATCGAATATTCTCATTTTCATTTCTCTTTAGTAGTGAAGGTATTTTCATATTCTCTCTCGATGACTGATAAACAGCATTGACGTCCGACTCTCGACATCCTAATATTAATTATTTTAAGCACAAATTTTAGTTAAAAGACTTATTATTTCTAAATTATTTTTACAATTATACTTATTTAATTTATATATATTATTTTAAAAATATAAAAACTATAATACCGTGTCCAACCCATGTCCGTGTCCTATATTTTTAATAATTGTCGTGTCCCGTATCCGTGCCGTGTCGTATCTGTGTCGTCGTGTCCGTGTCTGTGCATCATTGTTGCCAAGGTGGTGAACTTAGAATTCTTCATGAATCACTGTTTTCTCAAAATTTCACTAACAGCTAGATGCATCTGTAGCATCTTTTTGCCTTCAAAAAACTTTTACTCTTTCTATAAAATCATTATCATCTTCATCATCGTTGTTGTTGATATTATCTTTGTGTATGATCTAATCTATAATTACTAAACTAAACTTGGCCTGAGCAGATATGGACAACAAAATCAAAGCCATGATAAAACTTATAGAAGAAGATGCAGATTCCTTTGCAAGAAGAGCAGAAATGTATTACAAGAAACGGCCTGATCTTATGAAATTAGTGGAAGAATTTTATCGAGCATATCGTGCATTAGCAGAAAGATATGATCATGTGACCGGGGCACTTCGTCAGGCTCATAGGACAATTGCTGTGGTTTTTCCCAATCAAACTCGATTTCTGTTACCAGATGAACCTCCCTCTGGATTGCTTGATACTGGTGATGATGATGCTTTTGATTCTTGTATTCCTAGAAAATTTGATGCCATCCAGTGGGATGGAGAAGCTCTTGACGAAATTGCTCCATTCATTAGCGAGGAAGGGTTGAAGTATTTGAATTCGCTCTTTGCTGATGAAGATGCTAAAAAAAAGTTTATTGAGAGCTTTCTAAAGAAAAGCTTGAATTTGAAAGAAGATGAGGGGAAAGATTTTGAACACAAAAAACTGGAAGTAGAAGTATCAGAGTTGTCAAAAGAGAACAAAAATCTCCGGAACCAGATAACTGTGGAGTCTCAGCGTGCAGACAAAGCTGAAGCTGAGTTGCAAATTTTAAATGATTCTCTCTCCAAACTGAAATCTGAGTTGGAGGCAGCATTTCTTCAGTACCAGATATCCCAGGAAAGGATATCAAACCTTGAGTCTGAAATTTCTAAAAGCCAAGAAGAATTTCAGCATATCAATGATGAGATAAGCATCAAAGTTTCTGAACTTAGAATGGCTAAGCACCATTGCCTTGGCCTAGAGAAAGAAAATACTTCTCTACAATTGGAGCTGGATAAGCTTAACCTGTTTGTATCCAAGCAACAGGAAGAAGCTTCAGATTTGCATAAGGAGAACCAAAATCTCCATAATCAAGTCGATTCACAGTCAAAACGTGCGGATAGAGCTGAAGCTGAGTCAATTAAATTCTCAAATGCCATTTCAAAGTTGAAATTTGAGATGGAAAGTGCTCTTCTTCAGTACAATGTTTCCCAAGGAAGGATATCTGAACTGGAAGCGGAAATTTCTCACACCAAGGAGCACTTTAAGAAGATCAATGATGAGAAGTTGATAGGTGCCTCCAAACTTAACATGGTTGAGCATCAATGTCTTAGTCTGCAAGAGGAGAACAAATCCTTGCAGCATGAGCTTGATAAGTTTATGCAGAAAATGACTAGGCAAGAGGAGGAGATTATCATGAGGGAAGAAGAGTTGTCTATAGTCAAGCACTCCATAGAATTTGAACGACAGCACAACATGCAAGCTGAAATAAAGGAAAAATCTTTGCGGACCCAGCTAAATAAACTAGAACAGAGAGCAGAGAGGCAAGAAGAAGAGATTGCAATCAGGGAACAAGAGTTGAATAAACTCAAGAAACATGTAGAAGATGAATGGAAACAACGTTTGTGTGCTGAAAGGACTCATCAGGCATTGGTTGAGCTGCATTCTCAGTCTCAAGAAAATGTAAGACATTTGGCTTTGGAAATTCAACGTGGAACTGAAAAGTTGAGAAACATGGAACTCAGCAAGGCTGGCTTGGAAGAAGAAATAAAGCGACTTCGTGATGAAAACCATAGTTTGAATGAAAAAAAAGATTTATCTGTTGCAAAAATAATATGTCTGCAAGATGAGATAATTTCATTGAGGGCATCAAACCACAAAATTCAAGATGAACTGAGGTTCAATGGTGAAGAAAAGATGTTTCTTCAGAAACAGATTTCTTCTTACAAGAACAAGCGAAATGATTTAGAGGAAGGGCATTATGGTTTAATGGAGAAATTGAAAAGAATGGAATTGAGGGAAGCTGCCATGGAAGAAGAAATGAGGCGTCTTCATGATGAAAACAATGATTTGAATGAAAAAATTCTTTCATTTTCTTCAAAGATAGTAAATCTGCAAAATGAGATAATATCATTGAGTGAATCAAAGTATAGACTGGATGATGAACTGCAGATCCATTTAGAGGAGAAGAAAGTTCTTGAACAAGATTTGTTCTCTCTTAAGAACAGGAGAAATGTTTTAGAGGAGAGGCACTGTGAATTAATAGAGCAAATAGAGGAAGTCAACTTTAATGTGATCTCTCTGCATGCAGTGGTGAAGGAACTGCACGATGGAAACAAAGAACTAAAAGATACATGCAAAAAGCATGAGGATGAGAAAGCTCATCATTTCCAGCAGTTAAAGCTTATCAAGCTGATGTCAGAAAATAATGCTTTTTTAGATGGCTATTTGTCAGGTGCAAATGCTGAATTTAAAAGCTTGATTGATAAAATCATGGGACTTAAAGAATACTGTGATTCTCTTCATCACAACGTTATTAGCCATATTTCTTCAAAGCCTGTGCCGAGCTCTCATATGGAAGCTGTTAATCAGAATATGGAGAAGTTTTCAGAAAAAAAGGCAGTTATTGAGAACTCCATTTCTGATCTTACTGTTGAATTTGATGTTTTAAGAGGTATGGTTAAAGCCTTGGATGAATCTTGCCAGTCTCTGTACTATCAGAAGCCATATCTTATTGCTGAAAACAGCAATCGTTTCTCTCAGGTACATGGTTCCTAATTATTTTTCATTTCTTCTTTTTTCTTCACCTTTTCTATTTCTCTGCAAATACGATCAGCTTGCCTAATGCCAAGAAATAGTTGGGATAACGCTTGTAAAGCATGAACTTAGATATAGATGCTTAGACTTCGTTTGGGGCAGTTATGCTATCCTGTTTTTACTTTTAAAAGATTTTTTTTCAACTATAATTTAAAATATTCAAAAATAATTTTCTGAAGGCAAAATTTGGTAAGTTGTGAAAATGCTATCATCCAAATGCATACTATTTTTTATTGACTATTTCTCCTATCACAAAAAAAATCAAAAAGCTGCACCAAATAAAGCTTTAATTTGTCTTTCTTTTTTTTTTTCATTTAGGTTCTATTTTTACCAAGAAAAGCGATTTTCAGTTCCTGGATATTATTAGTGACTAAGTATCATCCTATGTGTTCTGCCCTGATATTTCTTAATGAGCATTTGCCCCATTCTATCAGGTGGAAAGAGGTGCTCTGCATCTTCAAAGCTTGGAGAATCAGTTTGAGGTCTTAGAAGGCAAAAATGAAATTATAGATGAGAAGGTTCTAGCAGATCATGACATGGAAGAACTGCATTGTTCATTCAGAAAAGGAAAACTAGAGGATGAAAATTATATCAGTTTCTTCAATAGACAATTGATTACTTCGAGTAATCAAATTAAAATCCTGAAAAAACAAATCCAAGTTTCAAAACAGGAGCTTGAGGAGGAGCATTATAAAATAGTAAAGATTGAGATTGATAATATCATCATGAAGCAGTTTTTTGTTGAATTGACTAAAAAGAATATGCTTCTCTCAAAAGAATGTGGAAAGTATATGGAGAAATTGAAGCATACAGAAAATTTCTTTTTTGAACTCAAACAGGAGTGGACCACTCATGAGAGGAAACTAATTACACTGTCAGACCATAATGTGAAACTTTTGGAAGGGATTCATGTGATGATGAAGACATATGACACTAAGAAGGTTTGTGAGTCATATGATGCCAAGGAGTGTGAGATTTCAAATGATTGTTATGATAATATTTTGCAGATTATTTCAAATAAAATTGCAGAGCTACAGGCTATTGTTCCAGTTACCAAGGGTGAAATCCATAATTTTCAACTTGAGAAACCATCTTCTTTCACACTTTTAGAGCAACTTGCACTGATATTAGTGGAGCTTAGATCACAAAATAAAGTGCTTGAACAAGAATCTGTTTTGAAAAATCAAGAAATTTTTAACCTCCAAAGAAAAAATCATGAAGTAATAGAGATAAATAAGCAGTTGCAGAAGGATATTAATGCTAGCAAACAACGGGAGGAAATGCTAAATCTAGGATTGGATGGAATGTGTGGCAGATTGTTGGATTTACAAGAAGCTTGTGGTATATCACAGAGTGAAATCTCAAAGTTGCTCAAGGAAAATGAATCGTTGTTAAAGAAACTGTTTGACATAAGGGAGCAAAATGATGCATTGGAAGTTGAAAATGATGATATCCTTGAAGAAGCTATTGCTCAGGAGCTCCTCTCATTAATTTTCAGTAGTTGCATTACTGAAAAATCTTCTAATATGAAGCGGTTAATTAGTGATGTGAACTATCTTTATAGGATCACAAATGATCTAGGCGAGGATATCAGAGTGATTAATAAAAGCATGAGAGATCTAGAAGCTAAAAATATGCATCTTAAGGAGTGTCGAACCCACACAGTGCTTTTTGAAAATAAAATCCAGCAAGCAAGAAATTCATTGAGAAAACTCAACATAGAAACAGAAATGGGTGGGAAACTGTTTGAACAGAGATACATGGAGTTGTCCGGTTCAAGCAAGTTTCAAGGCATCCAAAACATAGAATTGCCACTAGATCCTGATGTTTGTATGCAGGTGATCAATAGGGCCAAGTTAGTTAGAAATGGATTAGAGAAGAACTTGTTTTCATCATTAGAAGAAGAAAATTTGTCTAAAGATTACGAGATTTTATGCTTACGAAAATCCAATGAAATGTTGGAAGAGGAATTTTATGAACTACATGGAGTGAAAGCACATAGTGCTTGGGAAACCAACTTGGCATCTGAATTCCAGGTATCAATTGACGAATGCAGATCAAACAAAGCAGAAGCTGCGAAGTTCCTACATGACCTTCATGTTTCATCATTCATGGAATTGATATTTAAGGAGAAGTTCTTTGAGCTGATGCAGATACTTAAGGGCCTTGTGACGACTGATACTGTGCAATTGAAGTTTCCAGTTGAAGAAATTTCTTGCAGAAATGTTCAAGAAGAAGATTTAAAAGAAAAAGTTGATGTGCTTGGAAAAGAAAATAAGAGGCTGAAGGCGGAACTAAATGCTTATGCTCCTCTTATTGCTTCTTTGGAAAATGAGATTGCGTCTCTGGAGGAACGCACCCTTTCATTAACAAATCTTCACATTCTGAACAGTAAGAGAAAACAGGTAATTTATTATTCATTGTGATGCATGTTTTTTGATGAATCTAGGGCATGTTTGGTTGGAAACTCTTAAATGCATGTATTTTAAAAATACACAGTAATTGGAATTTATGCATTTTAAAAATGCATGAGTTGCATGATTGAACGTATTTCAAATGCATTAAAATATTGTGAGTTTGTCCGGCATTTAGAATTCATCCCATCTGAGCGAATTTTAAATTCATCAAAAGTAGGCGATTCATGGTATTTCAAATCACCCACAATTATTTATTTTGTGTGAACTATAAAATGAATGTGGGTGTTTTGAAAATTTATTTGTTTGTTTGGTTGAAAAAGAAACGCAAAGTAATTTGATAATGTATTTAAAATTCGCTATTTAGTTTATTTTTGGTGTATTCCAAGTTAACAAAAATTCAGGTGGTTTTCGATACGCCACGTTGCTTTCCCAATCAACTCTTTGCTAGCCCCCGCCGACCTTTAACGACTACTGGTCACCCCCGACCATTGGCCACCGCCCTCCGTTGGCTGTTGACCACCACGTGTTGGTTCCAGCTAGCCCTTGATGCCCTAGAAAAAAAACTTCATTCAAAATAATAATAAGAATAAATGGAGTTTATTTTATAACAACAATATCATCAGCATCAAGCCTTTATCCCACTCCTTGGGGTCGGCTACGTGAATCCTTTTTCTCCATTGTGTCTTATTAAGAGCTAAATTCTCATTTAAATCTAAAAAAGAAAGGTTATTTTTAATATTTTCTAATCAATTTTTTCTAGGTCTATCTCTACCTTTTTTAACATAAGCCAAATCTAATACATCTACTTTCCTAATCGGGTCATAGGAAAGTGATAGGAAATACTTGATTCCAAGTATTTCCTAATCACTTTAGCCAAAGATCTCACAGCAAACTGCTGTCCACAGCAGGAAATCAGCCAAAACAGTGGGAAAACACGAGAAAAACGATAGAAACACGAAGTAAGAACTTGTATTTTACTAGAAGATGAAAGGAAAATAGCAAAGATACAAGGATCCTCTATTCGAGAGGAGGATCGCACTCTCCCAATCTCTAGAATTCAATCTAGAGCCCTAGCCACCAAAGAAGAACAAGAAAACTTTCACAAAATATCTCATAACCCTAATCCCCCCTTTTCTCCCCTACTTAATGCATAAAATTCAAATCTAAAACAAAATGACCTAATTACCCTTGCTTCCCCTCCTTTTGGCTCCAAGAAACAATTCAAACTTCAAGTGGACCCCACCCCTCTCCCTTCTTCTTGTGTCCGCCGGCCCTCCTGGTGTACACGATCAAAGCCGGCCCAAGGGGCTGGGCCGGCTGAACCGGTCCTCCTTGGACCGGTCTAACAGAAAGCAGCCATTTTACGTGACCAAAACATCTAAGGCTACTCCAACTTTTTCACATATATGCTCATTCATAAGATTAAGTTAAGCGTTGCAGAGATGAGGATGCTCACGTGGAGTTTATTTTATAACAATTCACAAAAATTATTATTATTTTTTATTTTTTCTATAATAAACCGAACATCATAAAGTTTGTCAAATATGATGAATTTACTTGACACTGCACTTCGAATGCATTGAAATTCTTAATACTTGCAACAAGACAGCCCCTACCGAATAAACACCAAAAAAATTAAACCCCTTATTTCCTGTACTTTATACTAATAATTCTCATCCAAAAAAAATGTTTAAGCTCTCTACCAAAAAATTTTCTCCTGAAATCAAAATATCATTTGTTTCGTGACAAAAAAATAAACAATGCTGAAGGTATTTGGAATGTGTAGTCTCGCTTCAGGCAGTCTAGTGTTTAAGCAATGGACTAATGTAGAACTTATTTAGGGTCTAAAGCTTCAATTGCGCAATATATAGAGGGATTTGGCACAACATTTTTTTCTGACATAGATATCTTGAATTAACAACATTTATCTTTTATCAGGGCAACTTACTTGCTTCTCTGCAGCCTAAAAATTTCAGTGAAGTACGAGGCAAGCATCACAGCCCAAGAAATTCAAGAGCATCAGCTGGAATCTTGGCGCTAAAAAAATTGCGTGCAAAGGTTAAGGTACTTCAGAAAGCAGTAGTCAATACTGAAGGACTTCTAGATTCAGGAGAAGTTTCTGCTACCAAAGTGGATGATGAAACAAGAAAAGTCAAAACATGGAAGTTAAATAGAAGCACAGGACTGGTGGGAACACAAAAAAAGAAAGATATCATCTTGGATTTGATAAAAAGTGAAGGCATTGACAAAGATGTTAAACTGGTGAAAGATGGTATATTCTCTAGAGTGAAGCACGAGCAGATAATGAAGGATATAGAACTTGATCACGTGCTAAGTGGTTCTCAACATGAAGTAGATTTTGTTATTGAAACAGATGATCATACTCATAAAGTAAGGAAATCTACCACATTGAATAATATAGATAATTACCAGATTGTAAACATGGAAGTTGAAAGGAGTGAAAACTCTTCTTCTGAACTTGTTTTGGAGAAAGAGTTGAGTGTTGACAACATAGTGCTGCTCCCTGCAAATTATAATGAGTCACTTCGAGAATGGATTGATAGGATCAATGTTTTTATTTCTGCCGATGCTCAGAGGCTGTTGGATCTAGAAAAGTTTTTGATGGAGCTGAGAAATAAAATTGCTACTTCAGAAATGAAATGCCAGCCATCAACTTTGGATCTCAATCCAGTCAAGATGCAGGTGAAAGAGGCTGGAGAAGCCCTCGTCAAGTTGATTGATTTCAACCACAAACTAACTAAAATGACAGAAACATTCTCCCTGTCCTCTGACAGCAATAAACGAAGAAGAAAAGTTGTAGAGGGAGTAAAAAGAGGTGCGGAAAAAATTGATGGATTGGAGCTGAAACTGCAGAAGGTCCAGTGTATATTCTTAAAACTCCAAGAAAATAAACGAGAAAACAAAGCAGCCAAACCTTTGGAAAGGAGATCAAGAATCCCATTGAAAGACTTAATATATGGGAAGAGAAGTAACTCAAGGAAAATGAAACGCCAGTTCTTTGCTTGTATGAAGCTCAAAACCCAGGAAATATGACTCCAACCCCACATTTAATGCTTAGCTTCATATCAGCAATCGTTTGCAAGGGCAATTGATTATCAAGAAGGATATGAGAATTCATAGACCCTTGGTGTTTTTGTAGCGACTGAGTTCTTTGTATGATGAGGTGGATGTATTAGGATCAAGACACTTTCAATAGTATTTCTTAGAAACTTTCTTTACCTGTTAATTTACTGTTATTTAGTTTAAGTTATGCAGGTGATGACCTCTTGTGGACCTGAAATCTTGAGCTTAGATAATGGTTATGACAAGTTTCTGATGCCAATGGCAAATTTGCACTGTATATTGAAAAATAAGGATGAGCTTTTGTTTTTTGATGATGACTGAGCCTTTCAAGTTTGTGAATCTGGAACTATTTTGAGAAAAATAGTTCACCTGCCTGGATCAACAACACTTGGATGGTTTTTGAGTCTTTTAGGCTTCGTTTGAGACAGCTTTTTTACTGCTTCTTGAAGCAGCTTTTTAGTAGACAAATTTTATTTTTTGTACTAAAAAAATATTTTAAGAAGCAGTAAGAAAGCCGTCTCAAATGAAGCCTTAGTCTACTAGTACTCATCAATAATAATTCTAAGTCTCATCAGGCTGATACAATCAAGACATTCTTCTCTTTCTAAGCATCAGCCTTATCTCAATTGTGTTTTGTTCTTCATCAGCATTCCTTATCTCAACTCTTTGTGCTTTATGAATCTCTTTTGATTTCATTTCTTCTGAGCATAGGCTTAGATGTAAGGTATATTTTTATAATCTTATTCATCTTATCTTAGTTTTATAATTTCTATTGTCTGATCTTTTAATATTAATTTGATCTGCTAATTTAATGAATATTTTTTTAACTTTGTTTTATATGTATTCAAATCATTTTAATCTATTTGTAATAATGTTTTTCAATATATATTCATTCTAATTATTTATTAATATCTTCAGCACTGTTCACACCTTAAAACAAGGGAGCCACATAATAAAAAAATTAAAGCATCAAATCCCAATGCTTCCTATGATTGATTAGGCTATTATAAGATGTAGGCTTCATTTGGGGTGATTTTATTATTGCTTTTTAAAATGATATTTTATTACAAAAATTAAAATTTTTGTACTAAAAAATTATTTTAAGTAGTAAAAAAATCATCACAAATGAACCGTAGTCTTTCCCTTGTGATAGCTTAATCCCAATCCATGATACATTCTTAGGTTGATCTCCTAGCTAATTTAGCTAAAACCTTGATCCAAACCTTTGAATAAGTTGATTAGGAACAACTATAGATTGATCATAAGTTTAATTGAGCTCATCTATCATTAGGGTTTACCCTGAATATTTCAATGATCCCTTCCAATCTATTAGTTTTCTTAGTTTTGATCATAGTCAACTCAAGATCAAACAAAGCCCAAATTTAATTTATTTTGATCCATTTAGGAGTTCAATCCATTAGCCTTCCATTACATTGATTCAATCATGTTTAATTTAAATTTAATTGACAATGTACTTGTCAATTTTAATCTTCGCCTTAAGCTTGATCAAAAGTCAAATCTAACCCAATCTACCTCAACCCCTTAACCTAATGGGTCATTTTGAGACATTCGACTATGGCCTTATGTGGGATGACTTTTTACTGCTTCTTAAAACAATTTTTTAGTATAAAAATTAAAATTTTTGTACTAAAAAAATATTTTAAGGAGCATCAAGAAAGCTGCCCCCAAACGAAGACTATTTGTTTGATATAAATTATTCTAATAGATTATTATAACAATTTAAATCAAATTGACATTGGACTATCTTAGATCAAGCTTAAAATCTAAGTAGCCCAAGTGACCAACTAAGTGCCTGAACTCTATAATTGGACTGATATATGAATACTGAGTTTAGAATAGGAATATTTTCTTCTGTTAATATATAAGATTAATAAAAAAAATATATCAAAGATGTAATAAAGCAAGCAAAATAATAGGTTAAAATATGCATAAGAAATCTTTTTTACATATATAAATTTAAATTTTCTTTTTTAACAAACTATTTTAAAATTATAAAATATTTAGAAAAGAAAGCTAAACCAACTTTAAAAAAAATGTGCAATAAATATTTTTACAAATTTATAAGGCAAAAATTAAGTACATGTTTATTTTTTAATTTTCGTTATGTATTTTATTTTATTCTTTTGTAGAGCGATCTCCTGTGGACGAACACGATCAAAAAGGTCTAATACATCTGAGTTCTTCTGGTTGCCCTGTCTAAACTACAAGTGTCACACTCTATGGTCTATATTGAAAGAATTACATTTGTCTTTCATTTTAACTATTTAACTAGAGCTTTCTAATGAACGGCGAAAAAAATAAGCATTATTACATTTTGGTCTTGTCCGAAGCCCCAAATCATTGGATCCTTACCCTTTCCTAAAAACATGTAAAATCAAATAACGAGCACATAGCTCAACGATCTCAATACAAGATAAAAGAGAATAATATGCTATAAATCATATTAAAAAATATACGCATCAATGTCTATACTAATTATTAATATCAATTTATTTTTCTATAGTTCATCGGTCATAATATAAGTACAGTATTCATAGCAGTGTCGTCATCAATATTCTGATATTCAATGAGTATATCTTAAGAGTACCTTGCTCTTGCACTTATGACTCTCAATCAGTCAACTCTTATAACTCCTAATAAATGTACTCCTTATAACTCCCCTTGAATCACGTGAATCAGTTGCATCGACTCATTATAACTCTCAATCAATCTCCAACTCCTTATGACTCCTAATCAATAAATTAAGTGGATCAGTAGGGTATCAGATGGAGTCATATATCATGTATCAGATATTATTCAGTACTTTATTTAAAATACAATAAAATCACATCAAATCATTCAGAATGATCAAATCTATAATATATCCAAACTTGCATGATGAAATCTTATGAAATTAGAATATCATATATTTTTGACAGATTTAGGAGAAATAAAATCCTTAGAAATCAAAATAATTGAAAACAGAAGCAAGAGCTTAGTCACTTACAATGAATATAACAAAATATGTATAAAAAATGACTGACAAATATGATCCAAAGACATTTATCTACCCTCTCTCTTTTTCCACTCTTTTAATTTCTTCTTGGCCAAGCAACTAAGTGAGGGAGTTGGTGGGTGAGGCAAGGATATATATATATATATATATATATATCGCCAAATCAACTCTAAAGCACTATACTTCAGAATTTTCATGTCTTTCAAATATTTGAGTTATCACAACAACCTCGCGACCATGTTGACGACCATGGTCAACAAGATGACCACCACGACGCATGGCGTCCAAAGCAAATTGTTCTATCGATACCAGTACGATCCATATATGGACAACCTATTCGAGATGATTGGTTCGTGCAAGAAACTCGACGAGTACCTCAAGTGCTCGAACATGCAAAGCAAGCTGGCTAAAACACTCAATCAGGAGAATGTCACATGCTGGAACTCACTACTATGGTGCCTACGCAGCATCAAGCTAGGTGCCATCCAACAAGATCTTTTGAATGAGTTCATCATGTTCCTCGACATGTTCCATCATGATATATGGCAATGGAAGTGTTCAAGTGCGCAATGCTGCACAAGGTCCCATTCTAGCACCATTGTCTATAGCAGAATCTCAATCTAGTCCATATCGACCTTATGGACTTGAGCGATTAACTCCAAGTCAAAACAAAGATTTGGATCCGATCATCACCATCATAGATATCATCTAGCCCATCTTTGAGGAGAAGTTCGTGCTCCATCCCATCCATGTTGCGGTGATGATGTTCGACCTAGTCATAAAGACGCATTTGCGTAGGTTGGGTATCGGTGCTGATCAGATCGACGAAGCCAAGGAGATGCTGAAGGCCACATGATTAAGTACGACCAGGGCCTTAACACTGTCGTCGATGACAATGATGATGGAACAAGGCCACCGCCAACAAAGGCTGCCGCCGCATAGTAGTCTAAAGCATGCTCACATGAACGATCTATTTTTCTACCGATCGAACCACGACCTGTGTACCTAAATATGGGAAAAGTAGGGCAAATCCCAATTCCATTAAAGTAAGCAACTAGTTACATGTGTAAAAGAAAAGCAAAGAACGAAACTGTGGAAGAAAAAGAAACAGATGCTGGGACGAAAAAAACCCCAGCAGAAGAAGATGATCACCACACCCGGTGACAAAATTACACATGTCAAGAGAAAAAAGAGCTAAAAACCAAAATTCCAAGAGAAAGCCTATCACCAGCAAAACCTGCAATGACAAAGCCAAGCTCCAAAAAAGAAACCGAAATGAGTGACAGGATGACAAGAGTTGGAGGGATCGAGAACAGGCTCAGGAAAATAGAATTGCATCCAGAGTAAGGCATTCGATCCCCCGATTACGAAAATTGCCATCAAAGAGTATTTGTTGCAAGAATTGTCGTCCAGGGGGAGAGGATGCAATTTGGACATCATCGCCCCCATCCAAGACGTAACCATCCTCGAAAAAAAGAGCTAGATACTGGTAGAAAAATTGCAGCAATAAGGAATAAGGCAAGCAAGCAGTGCCGAGCACAGAGAAAAAACCCACAGATAAAAAACCTACATGAGGTTTTTGAATTCCATTCCTTTTTTCCATTGAAAAGTTTCATAGCTACCTTCTTTTTAATCAAGGCATGAATAGTGAAGCTACTATTGAAGTAATTAGCGAATTTTCTATCGTTTCTTTCTCTCCATATAGAATAGACAGCAACCCAAAGCTTCAGTAGAATAAAAGGTAAACTACCCGATCCATAATCAACCCCCATCGAGAGGAATTCAACAACTTGACTAATATTTGGCCTTAAGAGGAAAACATTAAGTGTAGGAATCAGAGCAGTTATGATTCTAAATGTATAATCACACTCGAAAAACAAATGTGAAATACTTTCAAAACCATAGTGACAGAAAATACATTGAGGATCCACTTCAACATTCCTTTTTCGAAGAGCATCATTGGTTTTGAGGCCACCAACAAAGCAGAGCCAAGCATATATCAAAAATCTGAGAGCAAAATGTTTGTGCCACACAAAGCTACTCCAAAATACTTCTATATCAGCATTGTGATAATCAAGTATGAAATTACTAAAATTGTAAGAAGTAGCAGAGCCCCAAACTAAGCATTTACCATGCTGTTCTGAAGCTATAGGAGTAGAGCAAATTAAATTGTGTAAGCTCTCAGGACAAGAAGGCGGCAAATTCCAACCAACAGAACTATAAACTTCAGCCATAGAAGTGTT